AACACCTAAACAAGCTGCATTTGCTGAAGAGCTTCAGGAATCAGTCCATTACTGAGTGCCGCTTTTTCTGTTTGCCATTTATAATTTCCACAAAGAGTTGCAGGCAGTCAGCAAATCTAAAAATCAGACCACTTAGCTGGACAGATAGACTTCCACCTCACTTACTGAGTCTTTATTAAGACTATGGCTTAGAAAGAATAATTTTTCAGATGTTAAAACAATGTACAAAGACCCAAGGAAAGAACCTGGGTAAGACTGGTCTGTAATCATTTGAGAAGAAGAAATGGTATCATTACATAGATAAGAGCAGTATCCACTAGTAGAAACTGTAACACATCTAAGATTTCTGTCCCAAAATGCAAGGTAACCCAGATGCTGAGTATGTTGACAACAGCAAGGCATGTAGTGTCATTCATACAGCCATTGTTAGTTCTGGTAAACTAGAAGGCGATACCTAATACAAAGTCAAGATCGTCACTAAACAGCAGAATATACATGTTTTGGAATTAAGGCTATTTTTATTTTTTTGTGGTTAAAAAAAAATATCTCATGCATCTAATCTACCAGTTTTCAGTAAAGGTAGTTTTAACTTGAAAGAATACTGCTGCAAGATGTTCCAGTGCACATGAAATTGTGCACCTCCATCCCAGAACTAAGACCTAAAATGCTGATCTTCAAACTTCTTGGAAATACAATCCTTTTTCGGCTTGTTTCTCTTTGTGGAGATCCTCAAGACTACAGCAGGTCAGTTCCCTCAGGGTGCAGGAGGAAGCACCAGCTGTAATTAGTGTCTGACACTGCGAAGACTCACATGCCTAATCCACAGAAATTACAGTGATGAGACCTACCACTGTGTGGGGGCAAAGGAAGGAGCATCCCCAGCTATCAAGTGTGCTGACTTTGAAATCCCAGATCTATCTAAAAATTTTCTGTTTTAAAAAAATCCCGTAAGAAAGGTGCAGGGAGAAGAAAGAAGAATCGCCTCACAGGAGAATGCTTGAAGAACATAAATTTTAAAGTGAAAACCTTAAATGACGTTTCAGGTGGCAAAGACTGGCAGGATGTGCAGACAGAAGCTATTAACCTTGTTTTGTATTTGGGAGACTTGTTTTCTTAATTAAAAAAATATTTTTTTCCATTTAAAAGATTGTGTTAAGTACAGGCAGATACTTCTCCATTTTATTATCAATATATGTAAAAACTCTAACTATAAAGAACAAGAAATATTTTAAAACATGGATTAAGGGGACAGAAAAATTGGTAAACAGCAAATTCACAGGCTAAAAACCCACAAACAAAAAAAAAAAAACCAAAACAAACAAAAAACCCCCCATGATAGTAGGATTTCCACTCTGCTCAATTAAATCGCCTTTTAAGCAAAATCTATCTTTGTCACTCAGATGTTAAAGATTTCTGATGTAAAATTTAAAATTACTAGTAAGTTGCATTTGTGCTATAAACTACACAAACATGCTCATGTATTCTGTGAAGCTAATACTAGCACAGGCTTCATTTTCAGAAATGTGTGTCACCTGGATTAAATTTTGCAGTACACCTTGAATTTTTTAATCTACATTTGCTGAGAGCAATGCAGAAAGAAAAAAAAAAAAATCCCAAAACACCACAACAGAACACATCAGTTATTTAAAGACTAGGTAAACATCCTGAGTAAGTAATAGAGAAGTCCAAATGACCACTACACTTCAACTTTTGTTATGAGCCAGTGTTTAGGGAACATACAACTACAGCCGCAGATGCGACGTGATTATAAATTCATCTGCAAAAGGCACAAAAGCCTATTGGCCTTTCTTCTCCGTCTTTCCAGTGTGCACACAAGAGGGTCACAATTCACACCCTTGCATCAAGACAACCCAGAAGAGCCACAACATATTATTTCCAGGTAACCTTATCCACCACAGAAGAGGAAGAGACCATTACACAGCACTCATATCCTAAAGAGTCAAAGAAATAAAAGTAGAATTGGAAACAAGGCCTCATAAACTGGTGTAAAGAATAGTGTAATCCTTTCATTTAAAGAGTTTCAACAAGTAAGGGGTATAACAGAAAGAAGGACAAGTTTTGTAAAAATGAAACATAGAAAAAAGGAGAAAATGAAAGTTCTTCATGCTGCTTCTCTACTTTGTTGTCCACAGAGAAGGATGAATTGTAACCAATACTTAAGCTTTCCGAAGCAAGTAAATCATGATGAGCTAGGCCAAGAATAGGCTAATTTAAGATAAAGTAGATGCATTCAAAGTGGCAAAGCCTGACAAGTATTTTCCCTGGAAGTCACTAAAGAACTAGTTAAGATTAGTAATCTTAAAATTTAAAACCACCACACTTAGGTAGATCAGAGAAATTCTAACTGGATATGTTAAAAAGCAGTACTTTATTTTTAAAGAAAGAGGATGCAAGAAAATACATAGCACAACATACAATACAATTTATGTGTAAGTATCTCAAAGGGTAAAAAAATAGCAAAAAAATGCCACCAGGATCAACTAAGTTCTTATCAAACTTACTCTTTTGCTAGTGAAATCAGCTAAGAGGATAAGAAAAAGCATCATCTGTGGCTTTCTTAGTATAAATTTTACCACTGTCTCATAGAAGAAAGCTGAAGAAATACGATCATAAAAACATAGGATTACCATCGATATTTTATAAACCACTTGAATGTTAGTTCTCAACATCTCACAAGGCATTTCAAGTGGAAATGAAGATGACCATCCTGGCCTCTATTCAGTGTTTTCGATAACGATTTGCGAGATGTAAAAGAAAATTCACTCATTGATGGCACCAAGCTGAAAGCAGTTCAAAATAGTTCAGAAAACTTGATCCCATTAAAATGATTATGAAAAATTACAGGGCTAGGGGCAAAAATAGCAACATGAAATTCAAAGCTCTGAGCTTTAAGAAATTACATATACAAATACATACTGGGAAATCGCCAAAAGAAAGATCTAAGTAGTAAAACGATTAATATAAGACTCAATGTATTACAAATGGCAAATGCACCTCAAGAGACATTACTACTTCCAATGTGATGACAGGGGAAAATTCTGTCATTAACAATATCTCAGCTAGAGACAAACTTCTGTCTGTTTAGGGTAACACATTATGAAAAGTGATGAACTAGAAAAGTCAAAGAAGAAAGAGTACTAGTAAAAGTAGAAGGAACTTCATTGCTTTATTCTAAAGAACAAATTATCTCCTTCAACAGAACAATATTTTTAAGAATGAAGACAAATCAGTCTCAAATAAGAGAAGGAATCACCTTTACTTGCAACAGATTGTCATGGGGAGATCAAAACTTTCAAAGATGCCACAAAAATCAAGTATTAAAATTTATGCCTACCACAGGTACCTAGAATGAAGGCAGGAACACCTACAGTATTTGTCTCATTAATTGCTGAAATTTCCCAGCATGTGTTTTTAACAACCACCTCAAGCTAAAAGCCATGACTCAATCCCTTGCTCAAGCTACTAATTTACCAAGACTTTCACAGTTCCCAAGCAGTCTAGGAAAAATACGCAGAAGTCAAACTAAATATATAGTTGCCATAATACATTTGTGTAAATCCATTGGTACACAACAAATATGCACAAATTAGCTGTTATTTGAAGGCAACTTTTACTTGAACAGTAACATTAGTTTCCACACTGTGTCTTACCCATCATTTATAAAATTGTCTAAGGTGCTCTTGCAGCATGGAGAAAAAAATAAAAATATAGGTTATGAAATGGGAAAATAAAATACAACTTACAATAAATAAATAGATAGAAAAAGAAACAAATAAATAAGAAAGAAAGACCACAAATTACATGTATGCATTTTCATTGACTCTAAAGCAAGTCAGGTAGCTCAAATACATTTAAAGACGAAAACACAACAACAAAAAAAGTATTTTTATAAGTACACTGAAGAAATTAAACACACTAAAACTTAACGGGACATATAATAAGATGAAAACAAAGAAAAAAGAGTACAAAGTGTAACAAGAAAGGAACAGAGTGAAATATATGTTCTGACACAGTATAATACTTCACTTTTTATCCTAATCACAAGGAAAATTAACTGCACACTTATTTCAGAACTGACCTTAGATGTACATTGTATATGTGGTTCCCCTTCAGGCTTTAATCCAATTATCTAAAGGAGAGAAAGTTAAAATATTTATAGACTTTCTTTCCCTTTCCAACTTTACAGACCGAATTTGAACTTTTCCCCCACTTAATATGACAGTTCATACAGGAAGCAATTCTATCTAGTGTCATTTTTATATGAAGAACAATTTTAGACCAGGACTAAGATTTAAAGCACTGTTAAGTTAAAGCTCAAATAGTTACAGAGGCCACAGAAAGGACAATTTTTTTATTTTATATTCAGTGTGTAACATTAATGGCTCAAACCACTTAGCAGTTCAACTAACGTATAACATCACTGAAAGGTCCAATACTTACTCAGTAAAGTTTGCATCACCTTACACAGTTTAGGAGTCACAGAACGTATGACATTCTAATTACATTTCTAGAACGCAGACATGAAGTAAAACACACTTTACCTGCATAGTGGTTTAGAACCTTTTACACAGAACAGTAAACAAACCCAAAGAACACTGTACTCCTTAAAACAGGGGTTTCAGATAGCCTGATCCAAGCAATCAAAGCCAAATACTTCTAAGTATTGGAATGCGCAAAAAGCTCACTCCATTACACTCTCAAACATATGAATTGCTAGATATTTCAGTAAATTACGCTATTCCAGAAATGCAAATATCTCGAGAAGCAAACTGAACATGTACTTCAGTCCTTTTCTACTATCATTTTTCATATAGTGGTAGCTGGAAGCACTTAGACTAAGAATTAAAAAATAAGTAGGCACTTACTCTGTTCACTTTCACAAGCACACACGGAGTTCCTTTAGAATAGCCAAAGGTCTTGTCCTCCTTTCCAGAGCACTGTCCAAGCTCAGAAAGGTTAAATCGACATGCCTTTTTGACAGCAACATCATTCTGATCAAAAATCCTTCCTGGTGTACAGTTTATGTTTTGAGATTGCTTTGAATCATCATATGCTATGAAACATAAACAGCTTATAAATCAATGGTATAAAGCATACAAGTAGCCCAAAACTGCAGAAGTCTGTATATAAACATCTAATTTATAGTTGTTATTTGTCTAGGAGTCTAGTCTAGTCTCAAAGGACTATTTTCAGAGCACTATGTCTCTCATATGCATTTTAACAAGCACTTTTTCAAAGCCTATCGAGAAGTGTACTTAAATGTACTTAAATGAAAGAACAAAAAGAGTATTACAAAAGAAATAATGCTGTCCTGCTTTTCAAATTGTATCAATAATCACAGCTTCATTAATTTCTGTACATAAACTAATTCTAAACTAATTATGTATTCTAAACTAATAATGTATTAAACTAGTAATGTATTAAAATATAAACAATCAAGTTTTTACCTGGAAACTAGAACAGTTTTCCCTTTGCATCTGTTTCTTTTGTAAACACACAAGAAAACTTCAAGTATTTCAATGACTAATATTAAGTTGCCTCTACATTTACATCAGGTAGTATAACTTTTTTCTGACTTTCTTGTGTTTCACAAGTATGCAGATTACATTGTGACAAACACTCATCTATTCACATCTAATTATTATGAATAATATACAATTTAATTAAATTGCAATCTTTGTGTGCCTCATTATTTTAAGCACGCAAACACCCAAGTTTTTAAGACTACAGGACTCTTACTCAGTTACCAAGCCACTTAGATGAAGACTGATCAGTTAAGTCTTACTAAACTTTGCCTCCAAAAACATGACCTATGTTATTTTACACTGAATTCTTTCGGCATATGTAATTTCTACATCTTGTAGGATTTAAACAATCATGTCACCAAAACACTGGATTAGGACCCAAAGCTCTCCATTATGTTCTCCACTGTTCCTCAGGCTCCCTGTTCAATATAGATACCAATACTTACAATTTTCTGTAAAGTATATACTTTAATAACACATATATCTAGAGTAAGCCTAAACTTGCATCAGTTTTCATTAGCAATTGGTAACTACAAGCAAAAAAGAAACTAATGTGCTCAACACTAAGATTCCTAAATTACTTAGGAAGTTCTAAGTAACTTACTTACATTCAAGAAATTTTCTAAGTGTAGAAACATATTCTGCATATGACTGGGCGTCACTCTTGTTAAAGTAAAATTCCAATGCAGTGTCTGGCTTTGGTGAAATCATGAGTCCTTAAAAAGAAAAAGTGCAAGTAAAGAACTAAACAACGTCTCTTTCCTATCCCACTCTAACCTACCCAAAAATCATATCCATAAATTGGAAATACCTATCTGTAAAGAAACATCAATGTTACCTCTATATTCCTCACTACTGGAACGCAGTTTTTGTTTTAAGTCAGTTATCAAAATCAACATTACATGAATTAATACTTAAATTCAATCCAATGTATAACTGCAATTCACAAACCAAATCCAACTGATTAGAAATAGCAAAATCAGCAACTTAATCATTTTCAATCAAAGAATTTTACTGATTCACTTCCCACTTTCCACAGTCAGCAAATTAAACTTGAAAAATAACTGAAAAAGTACCAAAAACCACACCCACAAAGCCTCCAGTTAAAGCTATGCTTCAAAGCTTTAGGCAATGTAGAGAGAAGCTATGATTGTATTATTCTCATAGAAACCCACAAGAAACAAAGTATTTTTATAAACTTTATAATGCATAAAGATGGCTTGAAAGATTTCCCAATCAAAACAGACAAGCCCTCTCCCCCTTCTCCCCAAACAGAAAGTTTACATGTCATCTGTTTCATAAACTTTATCAAACCGCTGCACGCCTGTAACTCAGAAGGGGTGCACCTTAGCCAGGCTGTGGTAACTAGGAAAGCTCTGGAGCTGTCTCCCAGGCTGCTGGCGCCAGACCCCGCAGCGGGAAGGCTCCTCGTCTGCTGCAGCGGGCGCCTACGGCTGCCCATGCTCAGCTGCTGGCTGAGGGTGCTGGAACAGGAGCAGCCTACAGCCAAGGAGCTGGACCGGCAGGAGAAACAAGGACACAGATTGCCGAATGCTGAAGTCCAGCTTTGTGTTGAGGAACGAAAAAGGCAGACACTGACACGAAGTTTGGGCCCTTGACAGAGGTGAGCTGACCTTCTTCCCAGGATACGGGTAAAGAAAGGTACAGACTTAAATCTTAGGGATTTTTTTGTAGTGGGTAAAAACAAAAGGCATTCTCTGTTAATACATACAGCCTTGTACTATCAGGAGTTGTCACTAACATGGATAGCTAATGCTACTACTATTCATCACAGCTTCAGTAGCAGAAGAAATAGCACTACACCACCAGATGTTGCAGATGAGATCAAATCTGTTCAAAAAGGGGTATACGATTGATTGCTTTATTCACACGACCTTAAGGTAACTCTTAGTTAATATAAATTATGAGAATGGATAAAAACCCTGCAGTTGTGATTAAAAGATGAGTGTCCATGCATCTGTCTCTTCTAGTATAGCTGAGAACTGACACTGCAGTTCCAGAAAAGAAAAACACAACACAACAAACCAACCCAACCTATTTTTTATTAGATTAGTTTTCTTCTAAGTTAGAATATTAAAAGGGCTTGATCAACATCAAATTTGGCATAAGGGAAGAAGTGCAATTACAGCAGCAACTAATTGTATCAGCTTAGGATGCCATGTAGTTTCCTACCCTCCAGCAAAACCAATTAAAACTAGATTCCCAAATGAATACAATTTAAGGCAGAAAAAAAACCCTCTTCTCCCAAAATCAAAAAATAAAAATAAAATCAGGCTTTCTTTATACAAAATAAACGTTTGAGAAGGTAAGGCTACAGTGAGAAGACAAAATTGGATAAATTGTCTTAATGTTGGATTCTTAATACATTACTGTAGTTAATCAATCACAGTAAGCTTTTGGAAAGCATATAGAAAGTGCAATTAAGCAGCCCTGGTCTAATAAGAATTCACCTATAGAAATGACCAAGCTACTCATCCAAAGGCAGAAATTATTACAAATACCTCAAATTGGGAAATAATAAAGGTATATACTAGAAATTTATGATAGACAAAACATATTTCAGATTCTAAAAAAACCCCAGATATAATTTAATGGTTTTTTACTCTATGTTTTTGGTAGGATTTCTCATAAATCCTCCTTTCTGCATTAGCAGCAGTTAAATTATTTCCAGGCAAGACAGAACTAAACACCTTAATGACTGACAGTCCATATAAAACTACCAATACCATTTTTGACTGCAAATTACTTTGCACCATTACAGTCGTCATCTGGCCTCCACACTGAACTGGGATTCAACAAAATACAAGATAATTAGTAACAGGGCTGAAAAATTGCTGAAGGGGTTTTACACACTAAAGGGTTTTGGAGGAGAAGAGATTGTTGTTATCTGTAAAATTATACTGTAAATGAAGGACTTGGATGCTATTTTTCAAAGTGAATACGAAAAAGTAACTAACTAGTTATCATTGAATGAAACAATAATTTGGAGAGATTTATTGCTTCAGGGGAACTTCAAAACTTCCTAAAAGGAAGAGACTGCTCCAGTTCCAGTGGATCAGAGTCTGCCTAGAGACTACGGTGTAAATTCTACAGAAAAAGCTATTTGAAGAAGGACTGATGCATAGACTGTAAGAGATGCAGGATTTGGGCTCTTCTAGAGGGAAAGAATTAGCAGCCTCAACATAGGATCACATCTAGGATTCTAGCAGAAATTACATTATCTTGCAATTCCGAGGGGGATTTAAAAAGAGTTTTTAAATCATCTGGATTTGATTGATACTATTATATCCCAGTGTACAATGCAAGTCAAATATCAATTATAAAACAAATCAACTGTGAGATTTCCAAGTTTAACACAAGAGTAAAACCTTTGACCTACGCCATCCAGGTTTTGTGTGTAGAATTTTTTTTATAATCTAAAGTTTTACAGCCAGGAACATGACATGTTTCACTGCAAGTGAAAAATGACAGAGTTAAAGAGAAACATTAAAACAGAAATAACCAATTTTAATAACTTTTACGTATGAGTAATTAAAGACATCATTAATTAAAAAAAAAATTCAGAAACATTATAGGAACTCTTAAATTAAAAACTAATTCTGGCATACATACTTTTTAAAACAAACATTCCTTATGACTTATTTTAAAACAAAGGACAATTAATACCCTTAACTGCAGGAGGCACAAGAGAAAAAACGTCACTCAAGTCCAGTACTAAGTCACAGCTGCCCACAGCTCCAACCACTACCAAGGTTCTGACTACCACAAAGCAAATGGGGAGAAACAGTCAGCTAAGTCACCTTTCTTCTGTTTTTATCTTTTTTTTATTTCTATTTTTTTAAATGAAGGATGTCTTTATTATTATTATTCTTTCCAACATTTAGCCCATTCTTAGCTTGAAAAAACAGCACAAATCCTCAAGAATCTCTTACAAGAAGGGGACACTTGTTCGAGCAGGCCTGAACACTACATCAAAACAAGTTCTTTTCAGAATCCAGCAACATTTATCACATTGGCCCAGTTGCAAACTGCTCACACAGAGATTACTGTATCAGCTTAAGTGTTGATGCAGCTGCAAGATGCTGGTTAATTTTAAGGGTTTGGAGTTCAAAACCAGGAAAAAGTATTTTGAAAAACAATGTCACCTAGCTTCCAACAAAATATTAATATTGCATAGCCATTTAGTTTTGTTGTGGTTTACACACAAAGTTGTACCCTAAGCAAAGTTATTATAAAATTTGAGGTATCTTATCAAATTTTCAGGTGGCTCAATCATTTAAGTTGCGTATACAAATCAAATACTTACACATCTCCAGAAAGAGTAACTAGAAAACACTAATCTCTTTGGTGTAGTTAAAGTATGCAGAAGCATCTTTTAAATCTTTCAGAGTGAAAATCCTTCATTTTTTTCCAATATGGTGATACACCAAAATAGACCCTATAATGACAGATTTGTGTGATATATTTAAACCAATCTAGGAAAAAAAAAAATCAAAAAGGAAAAAAAAAATAGAAAAAAATAAAAAAGACAACCACCCTATTATTCATTTTTATTTGTGCAGGGCTTTTTTTCTGTCACATATAGATCCTTGAACCAGCCAACAGTGGGACTGGGTGGGCATACACAAAAAGGAAGCAGTAGTTCCAGGAAGCAAGACACCACTTCTAGTGGCAGCTACATGTTACATGGACTTAACTTCATCATAAAATGGAGCCCTCTCTCTTCAGTGGATCCCTGTATAATAGGTCAACAACTCTTGGAATCCACAGACATTTCATGTTGGTTGAAAGCTATCTAATACTACAATGAAAACTCTGTATCAGTATCAGCTGTATTGGCTTTCATATCATAGTCCTTACACGCTTTTGAGCAGATCACCCCCATTGTACAGCCTTTTTAAGTATCAAATACTAATCACAGGTGGCCTTCCATCTGATCCAAGAGAACTGATTTATAGGATCTTTAAAGCAATTTGATTAAATGATAATTCCACTTCTGCAACAAGCATGTTGTGTGGACGTGCAGGTAAAATTACAGTCTACATACATGACAAATTCAACTGAAAAGAACTTAGAGCAAAACCAGCAAAAGTTAGCCCATACACACGAAAAGACTGAATTTATGCGATGAATGTATAAAACTTGCCACATAACAAGTTTTACCTCTGAAACTTGCAAGTAATTGAATAATAACCACACCTTCCCATAGGCAGTTCATGCTTTAAACAAACTCTAAAAAACTTCGCTGTTAAACCAGACAAAGGTTTATGAAAAAGTCAACACACTGTTACCTGGACTAGAAATCCGGTCACGATATTTCGGTATATCACTGCTCAGTGTCTGAAGCATAACCCACATTGTGAATGTGAAGAGTGCTGCTAGGAAGCCATAAAATACCAGATAGAATAGTAAGATCAAACCTGTAAAGAAAAAGGTGAAATTACTATTTTTGTTTCAGCTAATTCCATTACCTGTTTTGAAAATCAAAATGGGAAAGAAGCAATACAAGGTTTGGTTTTGGTTGCCCTCCTCCAATCCCTTGCCACTCCTAACTGCAGTTACAAATCAATATGCTTCTAGCATACATACGTATCATACAGCACAGAATAATAAGTGCAAAAAAGTTTTCTTCGTACTTTCTGGCTCTTAAAATTTACAGGGTATTTTAGCATCTCTATTTTTAGGAAAGAAGCACTAAAAACTGCTCTTTGGGCTATATAGGAAAGCTGGTAAAGATGACTAAGCAGTCCATTAAGGAAAAAAAAAGTTTAACTCATTTAACGGAATTAATAGTTTTGTATCTGGAAAGGAAGGGATAGTAGGGAAGAAGAAAGAACTGAGTGAAAAGATAAAATTATTATACTGGATTCAGAACAGGTAGGAAGCAATTGGTGCTTTAATAACATACTTGATATTTGAGAGAACTCCACACAAAGCATTCACACACACGTACATCCTGTTACAAGAAACTTCTCAAGATGAAAATGCTTTCTGCTGCGTATTTTTGAAAACAAACCAAGCCTTCTATTCAGGCTTATCAAAAGTCTTTGCCTAACAAATCCACCTGCTTTAACCAATCTACCCCAGGGACCAGGCAGCGTTCCTGGATTTCACCAAATACAAGCTTCAACTTGACAGTTGCTTAACAAAGAGCTCCTCAAAACCTCAGGAAACAGCCCCAAGGAAACAGCCTATTACAACGCTGTACCTCTCCATCACTTAGCTGCAACAAATTGCTAAGTGTTCCCTGTTCTTCCCCATCGTCCTGTTTTTCATTAGGCATGCACAGACACACACTCTGGATATGCAGATCAGTTGTTTACTGAAAAGAGGAGGTAACAGACAGGCCAAAGTTAAAATCTCACTTTAGAGATAATACTCAGATCAGCTGCACAGATTTTCAAAGAACTCTCTGCCCTTTTTCTCAGAGGTACAATGTATAACCCTCATTTAAAAACATTTTAAAATTTGGGACAGCTCAACTATCTCAGTGACTAAGTTTTCAAAAAAGGTTTTGTATTCTTGCATTGTTTTTTGACCTTGATGGACCCATATTAGTGTATCTCATTAAAGCAACAATGGCTAGCTCCTGTCCCACAAACTATGTTTGCATGTTGCACTGAAATATCTTTTAATGTACCACAGCCTCCAGTAGTCCATGACTGCTAAAGATGTAAGTACCTGTATCACTTCTCCTGAAAAAATTCAGTGTTCATATATTAAAATAATGAAGAGGTTCCCAAATTATCTTTACCGTAACATAAGTTCTCTGCCGCAACCAGCTGAATGTTACTGGATTTTGGTTTGGTTCTAGTTTTCAGTTTCACAAATTGATAAAGTTACTTACGAATCTGCAATAATCTGAAAGCAATCAGCTATTTAAAATACACTTGGGAACCACTGAGATGTAAGATACAACACAGTGATTAGAAGTTAAGTAGCAAAGTAAGTGAACACAAGAACAAGCTTACTCTATAATGAACAAGGCAGCTAGACATCTATTATAAACTATTTCTAAGGCTATTTAGAAGCTACTTAGAGCTGAAAAGAGCATATGAAAACACATAGTAGAAATCCTAATCAGCAAAAGCCATTACGGAAATTGCAACTGTATTTGGCACGCCATCAATTTGCTTTACCTATAAGCTTACAATTGGTTTAATAGGATCCAAAACAGAGCAATGATCTTCTGGGCATCACAACGTATTTCGGGCACCACAAAAACAAACAAAAAGTCTCCCTTACAAAACCTTTGGTCAGCTCTCATTTTAATACCTACAAATTAATCAATTCTGGAATACACTTTCATCAAGCTGTCTAAAAAGTACACTTTCCATCAAGTGACCAAGACATTCATCAATCAATTCCAATGGAACAGAAAAGAAGTTTGACAAGACAAGCAGCTTCTGTAGCAACTAGTATAAAAGCAAGAAAGCCAGGGAAATCTTTTCCATTGAGCTATTTCAGAATACATCTGTATTTTAATTTCCAAAAGACAATGCCCAACTTCACTGGGTAAAAAACAAATAAAAAAATAACCCTGCCCACTTGTTTATTACCGATGGACATAACAGCACCATGGCGGTGCACTTCTAAGCAGACGTGACCCTAAGTATAGCACTGCCTTGGGCCTACACTACCATCACATCTGCAATACTGGCCTTGACCTCATTTTAAAGCACCCTGAAGAGCTGATCTGAGCCTGCTGCAGCTCTCTCCCGGCTGTTGGGGTCCCCCTCCCCTGCCAAGAGCTGCAGCGGGGCAGAACTGCTACGTGCAGGCAGTCCCTGGGGAGCCCTCATGCCCACAAAGGGAGTGCCAATACTGGGGAAAACAAGAGGAACCCCAACGTCTAAAACGCAGTGATCAGCTCCGTGGCGGAGACTGCAGTGTGAACAGTTCCTTACGAAGTCCCTGTCCCTACCAGCAACATCACACCCACAGGGCTGCAGCAGTAACAAGGCTAGAAAGACGGCTTCTATTCACAGCCCCAGCCCAGCAAAGTGCACATGCGTGCTCACACATATTATTTTTAATCTTTATTTTAATACAGCTTGCAAATGCACTGCAGAACACTGACCACTAGGCTAAACTGCCCCATTTATGCTACTTTGCCACATTAAAAGGAGGGAAAAAACAAACAACAAAAAACCTCTCTGCAGCTTCCAACCGCCCAAAACTGAGTAAGCTGCTCTTTGTGAGCCTATTAGTATTAATTATCCTAAGCTAATCGCAGTGAACAAGCCATAACCTGTCAAGAAGCTCTGCCAAAATAACTTCACAGAACACTGGATTTCTTTTCAGGAAACAAGATGCACCCAAGTAGCAGTGGAAAGCTATCCTCCACGTTTACTCCAAGTACAGCTACCACATCTAACAGGCACTCAGTTCAATTGTTGCAGAACATCTTGCTACACCAAACCTGAATCTCCTAGCCTTTGACACTATCACACAAGGAAAACTGTCAATACCAAAATTCTGCACTACAATTTACTCAGTTGGCTTTTTTTTTTTTTTTTTTGGGGGGGGGGGGGGCGTGTTCTTTTTGCAGGGCATCACAGTACCAAAGATCCTTCATATCCTAACCACATTGACAAGCACCAGTCAAATCTGGAAAATTGCTATTTCTGAATCAACATGTTGGTGTCAACATTAGTTGGAGTTCATTTTCAGGAATCAAAACACTTCTCCACTATAAAAATTAGAATTTTTGACTCTGGTGAATGTAAGATATCATATATCTGGCCATCATTTCCATGATGAACACAAGCTTTCCAAACTTTACATGGCAAAAGTGATCTACCTTTATGCAGTACATAGGTAGATACATACAGGTATCAATATAAACACTCTCACAACAGATATGGAAGCAACTATTCAAGATTATCTGCAATAATGAAAAGGAAAGGATGTCTTTATGGTTTGTTGAATTCCATGCTGCATTCATCATATCACCTGCATGAACATTCTTCAGTATCTTTAACTAGTGGGATTCAAATACCTAAGTAACGTTACAAGTGACTACCACCAGTGCCAGCAACATCAAAGACTTTTGGTCCACCTGCAGATGGACTTCCTTGCCTTAAACTGACATAACTATATATATTAGATAAGCACTAATCACGTTTCAACTTTATTCCCTAGCCATCTGAAAATTACTGTTTTCCAACTTTTGGGGATGGTAGGGGGAGGGAGAGGAAGAAAGAGGGAAAGAAGACTTCAGGAAGAAATAAAACCTTGGTTCTGTGTTACAGTTTATTTCATAATAAACCAGGACTACACATACAACATGGCTAAACACTTCAGGAGATGAAAATTGTCAAGTGCAACACTTGCAAAGGATCACAAAAGCCGGTGCTTAATGTCATGATTAAACATTTACAACTCAGAAACCTCCCACACCCCCTAAATATCCTCACCAGAGCTTACCGATACCTGCAACAAGAAAAGGGAAACGTCCTTTCTTCAAAGCAATCTGTCATGGAAAATAAAACACTCTACTGATTTCTCAAATATTCACTTCTTACGATAGGCAGTATCATGGAAAAGTTTAGTAAGATTTTGACTGCAGTCATATTCCTGGCTGTGCAGGAATTTTTACATGAACTGTTCATCTGCCACAACAAGAAAAAAGAGCACTGTCTCTCTCTCCAATTCAAAACTTGGATGTGCAAGTGCTTCTACTGCAATGGCAGACAGCGATGCCAGAATGTTTAATATTACACTACCTGTGAAGAAAGCTAAATCACAACAAAACTCTGCTCAAAACACTGATAAAGAACACACAGGAATCAAGTCGGAAAAGCAGTTAAAACTTTGACAGCACTGTATGTCCCAGTAAGAACTCAGTGAAGACTACACAGAAGCAAAACTAGATCTTTTGTTACAGTGACTGACAAGACTGTATATCCACTGACATGGTGGAAAGGTTTCCTAAAAATAAAGTGTTGGGTTTTGTTGGTGGGGTTTTTTGTGGTTTTTTTGTTTGTTGTTTTTTTAATTTCAAGCACATATTTGTGCACTGAAGGATACAGCTAAGCATTCAAAATAATATGCAGTAGGTTCAAATTTCTAGGTACTTCAAGGCAATGCTGCCTCTACCTCGAACACCTTGACACAGCTAGCTTTACAGAAAGGCTAAAATAGGCTTGATGTGACATCTAGTGTGACCCTAAATGAAGTACTGCTAGACTGTACATTGCCTTTTTTTCTTTTTTCTTGGGCACAAATTATTTTTCTGTAACCTTGTGTAAAAAGAACTTACTCTCCGTACTGTGAGATTACGCACACGTTTGAGTGTGTAGCGAGCATCTCCTTACAATACTTTCATGATGATCTCACTCTGTTCTTGCTATAATTCTAGGCAGGCACAGCACCCTGCCATTACAGGCAGAGCCAGATGCTAATCTTCCTTTTACTTACAAGGCCCCACACGGCAGTCTTCCAAGTTCTCCTTTCTTTGCCCTACCTGATTACACCCTGTGTGGAACCCCAGAACTGACTCTCCTTCCCATTACCTCTACTAGGACTATTAGCTCCCCTCATGCCTTGTTGCTGAGAACATCACCAACTCAAGTCATCAACAGCTTTTTCCAATATTTTCTGTCTCTTTAATACAACAAATGATTATGCCAGATAATTAAAAAGGTAAGGGTTTTGGTGAGGGTTTTCTTTTGTTAGATTTGGATACTAATTTGTGAAAGATTCAAACGGAATTATTCCTCAAGTCTGAGAAAAATAAAGTAAAAATCTCTCATTTTTTACAGTAAGAGGAGAATTAGCGCAGGGTTCTTACCAAACTGTAAAAGGCAACTCTTTACAGAACTCTAAAAGGCAGCCTACCTCTGCTAGAAGACAAATGACTATAGGAGCTGCTTGTGTTTGATCTTTTTACAAATCCTGGTGTAGAAATGGCAGACAAAGATAAGTACTCCGATGCTATAGCACTCAGATTCACAGAGAATGACTGCCTTGCAGTTACCATTTACATAAGCTTCCTTTACATAAGGACTGTCTCAGACTATAGCAAAACATGCACATACTGTGAAGAATTATTTAACAGATTATCTCTACTTCTACCTTATTTCAGCGAAGAAGCTGTCTTGAGACAAGAGAAACATGCACCAAACAGAGCCAACTGGATTCTTATCATGCTGCCCCTGGAGACACCACAGCCCAGCAGACTGGCAGCCAGAGCTCTCCTCTCCTACCTCCTTGCCTTTCAGAGGGGACACCAGCAACAGAAAAGGAACAACAGTCAGTGAGACTGCTCTAAGCTCACACCAGTACTGCAGGGGCAGAAGTGAGACCAAACCCTGGCATTTCTTCCGTACCAACAGAGCCATTCGATTACTGTTCTGCAATTAAAAAATAAAAACCAAACAGAAAGCCACACACCACCTCGAAACAGTCAAAGACTATAATTTAATATATATATATAAATAAATTAAATAAGCACAATACGTTAATTACAAAGTGCCAGGACAAATAAATATCAACCAAATAATACACTGACAACGTACAGTCGTACAGTGTTGCTGAACAGTCAGCTCTCAATGTCCAGGCTAAGGAAAAGGTAGATAGCAATAACCACACACCAATCACCTAAACTACTTAAGAAAACTTATTAATGAAGCAAAATCATTCAAACTGCTATTTAAGTCTGTAAGTCTATTTTTCTCAATACGGAAAACCAGCTTTTCGAAGGGAGCTGGCTGTAGAAACTCAACTAAGAACTAAGTTGTATCAATTTCAAGCGTTATCTATTGGCCTTGGACTAGCACAGACTAGTAACATTGTAAGTGACGTATCCTTCTAGATAGACTTAAAAAAGAGAAGGTTGTCATGACTTCACTTTTTTCAAAAAGTTACAAGCTATTCCTAACGTGCCCACAGTCTTTGCGCTCGTCAGATGCATGACACAGACAGACTTGTGCAATCCATACACCCATTCATCCAGCCCACGCACTTCAGGAAACCTGCCTGTACAGAAAGATCACCAGACAACAGCCTAGTGGAAATTTCCTCTCCTTTGCTATTCAACTGGCAGAGCAGCTCGCAAGCTCTTATTTCCATCTGAATGGAGGAGAACTCGTTTCAGCGCTAGGGCCCTCTCCTGACAGACAGGGGACATTGGCACCGCAAAGAAAGCACAGCCCATATATAGTCTGCCTAAGGCTCCTCCTCGCTATTTCAGCATTAGTATCCATTGAGATTGTGTCAAGGCCAAGGATGTATTGGCCCGCTCCTTTACGCCACGCTGAGATTCTTGTTGGTTTTGTAAGCACAACTATTAAGTATCCCAACTAGATCCAGGTTTTGGGAGGAGACAGCATTTTCTGAAGTCAGTTAAATATGTCCCATGAGGACTAAAGAAACATTCTAATATTAAGCATTTATACAACTGTTTAATATGAGAAAACATACTCAGAAAATCCAAATATTTTTACTGGAAGCAACAAGATTATAACAACATGCTTTCCAGCTCAGAGAAAAGCAATGGGAAGACTACCTGAAAGTAGGAAAACAATCACTGCCTTCGCAAGCTTCACTGGAGAAATTTCATTTAAAAGCTTCGTAAGAAAAACAAAAGGGCCAGAAGCCCTGTGTTGGAACAAGTTTAGCGAAATGACACGCAAGGACACACAACGATCGTGGTTTTGCAGACTATTTGGAATTGGGGCTCATAAACTTTTTGGTTGGTTTTTTTTTGTTGTTTTGTTTTCCATCTCTGATCCGCAGCTACCGCCTAGAAGTACAAAGGCAATTCGTGCTCATTCATTCTCGGTTTCCTGCGACGCTGGGGGCGGCGGGGGGGCGGTGAGGAACGGATGGAGAGGAGCGGCTGCACTGATACGCACACAGGCTGCCATCGACTGGGAGCGATAAGCGCGGGGCGGGAGCCGGCCCTGCA